AAAACTAATTAGACAATAAATCACAGTTCAGGCTATACGTCGTTTGTTCAGACATCCAAGTTAAATTTACATACTAATGGTTGTGTATTTGCCTTTAATAGATGCACTATTAGAAAGTAAACATAACAAATGAATAACCATTTTAGCATTGTGTTACCTAATCTTGATGAAAAATAGCTGAAAATGTAGCAACCAATGAATCTATTTACTTTTTATTGGGAAATAAAGCTAATCACAGTATAAGGAGATAAACATAAATTATATGGAGTAGCATACTAATGATGGATCAGACAGACCCACCCTGTGCAGTGAATGCAGTAAGATCAAACTGGTTGAGATGGATGGCATAGACATTAGATGCTCTCCATCTCAAGCATGGAATAAAGGATATACACTAAGGTGGTTTAATTTGCAAAAGTTTCCCCTTGGATCTGACAGTCCATTTTATTTGCAGCACCTCCTAAAGCTTCAGGACAAGCTCTATGTCTCCCAGCAACAATCGGGTATGTGCACAGGAAAGATGCACAGGGATGATGACTGTCTCAGAGAACTGAAAAGTGCACAGTAAGGTAGAAAAGCTGGACTGTAACGGTGTAAATAAGAGGGCTCACATATATAGCAAATAGTGCAAACAGAGTTACTGGATAAATCCTTTGTCATTAGAATAGGGGCTTAATTCCTACGGTACACTGAGCAAGGAGTAAGGAATGGCCAGCCTTTGCTGTCTTGCACAGGAGAAAGAGGAGACCACTTTGACTTCCTTTCTGCTATAATGAATTGCTTCTTTCCACACAACTACATCTCCCTGATGATATACTTTTTCTCATCTCTGCTAACCTTGACTGTTCACTTTTCAAAGCAGAGAGACTCTCCTAGATTAGGCCACATATACCATTCTGGCTGCAGCTGTGCAGGAGGTGAGCAGTGTCAATTCAAGTTGTTTGTAAGTTTTCCTCACTCCACTGCCAAAAGTTACTAGCCCCTCAGGTCTCCCAGCAGAGCTGCTCTAGAAGCTCTGTTTATTCTGGCACCATTAGGATGATCCTGGTCAGAAAGTCTATTATTTTGAGTATGAAGGAACTGAGTTTGGAGAGATGGAATATGCCAGCAGATATAAGGAAAGAGCAGCCCCTGAAGATGATGAAGGGAGGAGGGGGGTGAAAAGCAGGTGGTGCTAGGCTCACTGCAGATATTGCACAGCAACTCCCATAATCTCACAGGGGGAGTCTGTAGTTTTCCTAGGAATCTGATCCAGATTCCCTCTGTACCAGTGCTTCCCTCATAACAGCCATAAACATGATTCTGCTTGACCTCAGTCCAGGCCACAAGGCCCATCTGCAAGAGAAATAAATAACTATTTAAAACAACAGCAGCCACAGACACCAGCAGCATCAAATGGAAGTGACTTTGTGAGGAGAGAACACCACTGACATGACATGCTGTTTGCTCATTAGGGCAACAAAGTGATGGAGGTTCCAGGAACCATCCTGCCACCAGAGACCATTCCCTTTAATCAAGACCTCTGGCCACACCACACTCCATCTGAACTGTGGGTGCCTCCCTTCCCTAAATGTCATTTCATTTCTGTACCTTTTCTTGAGAGTTGTCCACCCACGGACACATCTGTTTTTTGCAAGAATGCTGGCTCAGGATGAACTGGAAAGCGATTACATGGAACAGTGCTCAGAGCCCTGACAAACACAGATGTAGCACAGTGCACGAGATTGGAACCAAACCATTTGTTTTATTACATTATGCCCTGCAGGTTCTTAGTCCTTCCTGTCCATCCTCGGCCTTTCATTTCACAGCCTAAGCACAAGCCCTACACAAGTGATTGAAGGCAAGGTACCAGCCTCTGATCCCCCACACTGCTGTGACTTGTGTCAAATTATAGCTAGAGCAATTTGCTAATCCAAATCCATGCAATAATCTGGTCTGTGGGGAGAAGCCCTCTAACACTGCTGTGCTGAGTGGCCACAGTGGTACAAGCACTGTCAGCTTTTCCCAGCAGCTTTCTGACCTAGTGAAGCCTGCACACATATACTGAGCAACTGATGGCACAGGGAAAAGTCTGACACATTTAAGCTGTTAAAGGACACAGAACATGTACTTAAAGTCCCAAGAAAATACTTCAATTAAATTCAGTTTTTGAGCAGGAGTATATTTAGCCCAGCTAAAGGTTACTGCTATGCAGTGTGGACTTCATGTATTTGAAGAATGTTTTAGTGGACAGAAAGAAAAGTATTTTCGTTGGTGGATCATTTTCATATTATAAGAAAGGGTGGAGGCCGTACCCAAAGGTTGAGAGGTCTATCTCAGTTAAGCACATAAAGGATGGACATTTATCCAGACCTTCTGAGGCTACAGGATTAAATTTGTGTCATAAAAGGCTCTCAAAGCACCTGGTCTTGTCTTTGTTCAGTTCAGTGAGGCTGAAAAGTACTGCATGGCTTTGCATGCAGAAAATCCGACACTTTTAAAGTATCCATTGAGATTTCTTACAACATGAACACTGGAAGACAGGCTAAAAGTTTTCTTTCAAATATGATATGAATAAACCATGGGATTAATTAATTATGACTCTTTAGAAAGTAGACAGGTGCAGAAGATCTGCTAACTTGTCTTTATACCATACCTGAAAAATAACATGGAGCAGAACAAAAAACTTGAGATCTTATGGTAGCATCATGGAGTATTTAATTGTATTTTCATTCGAAGGGTCAATAACCCTTTAAAAAGCAATGCCAGTGTGTACCAGAAGTATGTACAGTATTGAGCTTGAAAAAGCTCAGAGTAAGATACCAGATGAAAGTAGGGCACAGACTTCCTTTTAAACAAAAACCCAAGCTTGCTTCTAGTCCCTTATATTCAGATACAGCATTGAAAAATGTATGCTAAGAGTTGGGGACAATTACTCTACCAAAACCGAAAATGAAACATCCAAGTTGGGTGTGTGCATGTATGTATTTAAAGGGAAAGCATTCTCCAAGTCTATATACTTTTCCCTGGCCTATTTCTTGGGGTACAACAGCTGCCAACACACCGATGTAATAAAGCAGTAGGTAATGGCCTGGCAATATTACTCTAGTATTTCCCTTTGGTTCAAGTTAGAGCACACTGGCAGCTGGCAATTTCTCTTCCTTGAAGTCCCCCACCTATTGCACCATACCTTCTGGTTCATGTTATTACTTCAAAGTGTATTTCAGCCAGTAAGCCTCAACTTCATGATTCCCTACAACATCAGTTCTGGGTTGTAGAACTCTTCTCCTTGTTCCAAGCTGAGCCAATGCCAGCTGAAACCAACATTGTTCAGCAACAAGAAATGCTCAAAGACCCGCCAGGACCTTGTCACCACTCTTCTACTGATGATGTAGATACCCAGAAAGCTACACAAACCCACCTGCTCCTGGTGACTCCTGCTCAGCTAATGCTACCAAACAGCACCAATTAAAAAAAAAAAAAATAATTTGCCTTTTAGCTTCCTGGAAACCATGTCCTTCCCTCTGAGCCTACCGACATTAACCTGTGCCTCCAGCATCTTCATATTGACTCACTACACCTGACTTACCTGAAGCTGAACATGAAGACTACATGCAACTTAGAGAAATCAGACACCCACTCCCCCCTCAGAGATCAGATTGTAATCTATAAACCGAGCCACAACCCCAGGAGCAAAGCCAGTGAGAAAGACAAGAGCTGAAAAGGAGATTTGAGCATGTCTTATTGAAAAGAACAAACATTCTGTAAGAGGTCAAGGAAACCTACAAGCAGATCTACCTTTAGGAACAGTGGCAAACAACTGTCTTCTTTCTGTGAGTGATAATAAACTACAAGCTGAGTATCTAATGCCAGCTATCACCAAAGAAAATAAAAAATAATAAATAAATAAATAAATAAACAAACCACCAACCAAAACTGACCAACCAAAAAAAATCCCCAAACTCTTACCCAAATCAAAAAACTCCAATCAAAAGACCGAAACCCACACACTAAACCTATCTCAAACACTATTTTGACTATACAAGAGATGATGTGCGGAAATTGCCATGAAAAAAAAATAAAAGGACACTGCTACTGATTCAGTGTGGAGACTACTCAAATATCACCTAAGTGCTACACTGTTGATTTCCCCTTTTATATTTTCAATTCTTAAAAGAACATAATCAAGCGGTTTACAGAGAAAACAAGTAAAATGGTAAAAGGCGGCAGCAGCACAAAGTATTTTGCTGCTTTAGCACTTCAGACTTCCCCAAGCATCCACACAGCTACATCAGCTCGGCTCTCCCAAAGACCAGCTGATGACACCTGACTTGAACTTTCCCATGCTCATGCTAAAGAGTATTATGGACGTAGCAATTCCACTCAGTCCAGATATGCCTGATTGCTCTGTAAGTACAGAAAAGTAAGACGAGGTTATTAACTACAAAATCACCTCACTAGAGGAGTTACAAAACAAATACAAGCTCAGCCTGCACTCTCCCCACCAATCGCCTGGAGAAAAGAGCTGACATCTCGGAAATGGTGACACATTCACAAAGCATTTTGCCAAAGTTTAACACTGACTTCAACGAATGTAGAGTAAAAACAATGGGGGAAAATTGGGAATGTGTTATGACCTTTGAAGGCTCTTCATCAGACACATATTTATAATGAAACAGAATTCTTGAGATACAATTCAAGAACATAACCAAATCAGACACAGGTCTAAATCAATCCCTGTTCTGAATATATTTAGAAGTTAAATCTGTGCTTAAGCATTACTCATATCAGGATGTTCACTGGGTATCAGCAGGAACTTACAATATTATCTGGTTGAAAAAAATGTTATCATCAAAAGCTGGATTTTATTGCAGTATATCAGAGAATCATGATAGCTGTAAAGCTGTTTTGCTTTGAAACCTAATCAATTAATGGCAAAGAATTTTAATTATGTGATATTCTCTAGGGACACACATACTTCTAATAGACAGTAAATGATCATCACATATTTATTATTTTACCTGGAACTTTATTTTTTGCCAAATGTGAGGCCCAATAAATTGTTTCAGGAAGCGTTCATCTTCACTCCAGAACAGTCGGATGTCAGGGATATCATACAGGATCATGGCCAGCCTCTCCAAACCCAAGCCAAACGCCCAGCCGATTTTATCCCGAGCACCAGCTGCAATACATAAACAAACAAGATAAAAATTCAAGAGCTTAAGTTCACAACATTGAAAATTACTGATTAAATGTTCACCTAAGAGGAAAAAAAAAAAGGGGAAGTGACAAGACAGAAAATCCTACAACTGCCGAATGAAAGACCTAAAGGCTACAGGACAGATCCTACTTCCACCAAAAACTGCACCAAGAGTGAGCACATCACTATGTCCAGGAACCACGAGTTGTAATATAGCAAAGCCACAGCCATGGCAATTTGTATCCAAAGTTTCAGACAGGCTAGAGAAATGCTACATAACACTATACACCACTTCCCTTTACTATCCTTAGAGCTGAGCATTTCTACACTTGACTCAGTTGTGTTTAATAACAAACACATGAATCCCCCGTTCAGAATATTTTCCTTGGTCTGACAGACCAAGTCATGCCTATGCAGCACTAACATCATTGCCAGCATTTCAAAGGATCGTAATTGCCTCTTTTGAGGCTTCTGGAAGAAACAGAGCAATGGGATGTGAGGCACCGTCGCATTAGCATTACACCTCCAACTGGGGAACTCCTGAGCTGCTGCTCCTGGGAAAAGCCGCTGCTCTCACATACACAATTCTCTTTTATGCAGCACTGAATATGAAAAGATGAGAATATTTAATAAAGAAGAACTGTACAGATATTAATGATGCAACATTTCTTTCAGGAAAGTAAATATTCATACCTTCCTTCATTTACAGGGCAGGAGCACTGAGCCATTAAACAGGGATTTTTTCAACACCAGGAACTAACTCTATGTTTAGCCATCATCCTACTGATTTTGAAATAACTGAGAGCCCAGAAGACCTGGCAAAGGCTTGGAGCTTTTAAAAACTTAAACAAATGCCTAAATAAACACACGCTGAAAGGACGTGTGCATGTGTGACAGAACTGACTCCTCGCCATCAGCACCAGTAGTGTGGTCCCGAGTCGTCCTGCAGCTATGCATCTACACCAGGGCTACACCAGACCTCCCCCTCCCTGCCACCCAGTATTAATTTAATCTAATTTTTTTTGAAATGTTGAGCTTGGCAGCTTCCCCACAATTATGGAGGAGGCTGGAAGGAGAAGTCTACTTTCTGACCCCCGTCTCTGCTATCAGAAAGGAGATGGCTCCTGTTATTTGGGCGCTGCTGACATCCTGATGTATGCTGTCATGTTCAGTGCTGAGACTAAACAAGCCCAAGTCCTGTTTAAATAGAGGCAGGCATAACAAGCTTGCGAAAAGAGACACACTCATCACTTCAATTCTATTAATTCACTTGAACCTGCCTACTTTTTCTGGAAAAGCAGGTCCTCAGCAGAACCTCTCTGAGTCTCACCTGCAGCCTCAGCAGTATTGCACTGCCACAGGAATTTAGTTAACTTTGTAAGAGTACTTCACAGAGGAGTCTAGGTATTTTGCCTTGTCCCTTCTTGTGTGCTCATAAGGCAAGATTTTGCACTTTCTGACCTTTGAAAGCAGACAGTTTGTTAACTGAATTGTGGAAGTCCTAAGTAACAGAGGACTAACTGTGAACCCAAAAGGTATCTCGTGGCAGAGCTACTCAAAACAATATGCTGAGATCAACCAATAGACTTTGAGCTATTACATGAAGAACTGCAAAGCTTGCTACTGTTGATTGAGTTATTTTTAGAGAAGAAATAGTGATGCCACAGAATGTATCGAAATTTGTGTTTGGGCATGTTTTTGAGTTTTGAATTTAGGTGTAGAGCATAAATTGTCTCTTTTCCAAGCTGAAAGTACTATTTCTCTCCATATACCCGTATATTACAGTAATTACATTTTTATGGCTATGGAAAAGGGAAGATAGTTCATTGCAATCATGTTGCTTCCCCAAATTTCCAGCTTGCCTTTCCTAGATCATTGGCTCCTGCCTCAGTGACAAAACGATTCATTTCAGAAGTGCCAGACTTTCACATAATATGGGTATTTCTGGAAGTTGATTAACATAATCCACCCCCTTCTCCAGAGGTAAGGTAGAGTACCTGTGGCAATATCCATGAGGGTTCTGAATGGTCACTGCTTAATCTCAACAGAGGCATTAAACCTGAAACCTAAAGATGTCAGATCAAGCATCAGTGTTAATTAATTCACGGATGGTCATTTAAGTATACATGATTGGGGCAGTGCTCCTCCTTCCCCATGTTACTGGCAATTACTGGTAATCATACCCTATTATTACTGGTAGATCAGACAGGTAAAAAAAAGAATGTGACAGAAGATAAGCAGAACAAGTGTATATTCTGATTACCAGAGCTTTACACTTAAGACTTGTGCTTTTTTAAGACTTTGATATAAGAATGCTTTTCACTGTAATACTTTTTCCCCATCACAATATATACCTAACTGATTTGCTATGCACTTAATTCTGCAATGAACGTTTTGATTTTATATTGGCAATTATTTTTTTTTTATGAAGGACTGGCATACATCACAGGTTTTTGCACTTTGTACCAGACAAAAAAATTCTATCTGCTAGCAGCTCTGAGCATTGTCATCTGAGCTATGAATAAACACCTAGTGACCAAACTTCTCTTTTGGATGATCCTTGTACAGTTACTAGCCCTGAGACCACTAACTTCTCAAGCATCCACAGTGAAAGCTGTGCCAGTGAAGAATTCCCTCTACTCAGAAAGAGAGAGGGGAAAAAAAAAGAAAAAGGAAAATTCAGATTATTAAAATCCCTCTTCAAATCCGAATCAGCACATCTCCACCACACTCTGAATCTCCAGTTATTTGGCCTCTGACCTCTTCTCCAACTTCCAATTCGTAAAGCTCCAAATTAATGTAACATTGACCTAAAGCATCTGAAGAATGCTCGGGGGGCTCAACAAGACTAAAGCGTGCTTCTAAACATATTCCTGACTGGAAATGATCAGGTGGCTTAGAAATTAAACATGAAGGTAATCATCCTGCTCAGTGAGAGAGCAACCCAAAGTTTTTTCCAGCACAAATACATGTTTAAATGCATTAAATTTTGGCAAGTATTATGCAAAGAACGCAAGTGAATGTGAGTCAACGTGACAGAAAGAATGAACACAGAATAGCTTTAAATGTGACAAAAAACAGGTTGAGGTTCTGATGAGACCTGGTCAAAGCAGCAGATTCTAGGGACCTGGTGGGACAATCATAGAATCACTGCCTGAAACAGCACAGCCCAACAGATAAAGCCCTCCTCACACACGATCTTTCCCCAACTGGCCCTCAAAGGTTTGTACACTGCCAGGCTCCTGCTGCCACCTGTGAAAAATCTGACTACCCACCAGAAGAAAATGGCTGGGAGCTTTGCTTGTCAGGTAGCCAAAGGTGGAAGAGGAAAGAATGAATTGTTTTGAGTGGCTTCTCACAGTGGGGGCTGAAACAGACCAAATTTGGCCTCAAAAGGTTTGCATCATCACAGCTATGTCTCACAGAGGAGCTCAACAGTCCTTATCTTCCTTGGTAAGTCATATCTAATAGTCCTGGTCTTAAGCTTCGAGCCTTGGTGAATCAGTTTACATGTAAATGTAGACAAGTTCAGGTGTTCTCCAAAAAAAAATGTTAAATGCAAGTTAAATTTGATCACTCAGGATGGGAATCTTCCTAATTATTCACTAAGGCATACATAATGACCTGCCAAAATTTATGGATTATATCACCTAGAATTCTCAGAAACACCCACAGATAGAAACACCTTCTCAAGGAGTGTGAGGCAAGACATTCTGCCCTGCACAACAATTTCAAGACATATTTTGCCATGTTGTATTAGGAACAGGTTGACAAAAACCTTTTGGTTTACATTCCAGTCACAACATCTATACTGGCTTTTTTTAAAGAATCTTTGCTACTTCTGTAAAACTGCCAATAAAGAAATCTTTCTTTCAATAGAGCCTAAATTAGGTCTTCAAATTGTTATACTCAGCAGTTACTGAAAAGTGAAAGAAATTAAATTTTGATCTTGGATTGAGGCAAAGTCAGGAGCACACAACAGCCTGCATACAAGGTGTTCTTCGTAAAATGCACAAAAATTATTATACCTAAAGTTTGAGTAGCTGAAATCTGGGATGAGTTCCAGAAGCAAAGACCTGAATTTGATCACCTTCTTTTAGTCCAAACTATGATTGTTAATGGAGAAAATTCTGGAACTAAAATGGTGGGAAGAGGGGTGAACAGATTCTCAAGGACACAAAGACTACACATCATGTTTTACAAAACAGACCAGAACTTTAAACTGCACAGAAAGTAATGATAGATATAATGAATATGTGACTTGACACAAGACATCAGAAATTCTGGCAACAAATACCTATGCCCACATTCAAGCCCTGTGTGATTAATGGACAGCTTATGAACAAGGCTTTGAAAAAAAGCTTCTGTAAAATAAATATTTACTTATTGCGAGAGACTAGGAATGTGCATTCTATGTAAGTGACACAGCAATGAGGCAAGCCATGTCCACTCATTTTAAAAATAAGCCACTTTAAATTATTTTCTACTTCAGATGTAATTCTTCTGATAATTCCTGTATCGTTTGGAGTCAAAGGTTTTACATGAAAAAAAGTAATACTAAGGCATCAGCCTAATAGAGAAAAACTTCTGATAGTGCAAAGTCAGATGGCTGGGATGTTAAACAACTGAGGCAAAAAGCTTAGCAGAGTTTCCTCCGATCTTCTCATTGAAAGCAAAATTCAAAACTGTCATATTGTTCTCTTGTAACTCTGTTAAATTGATGCGTTCAGGCTCCTGAGTGCAATTCAGTTTAAATTACATCCTAAAATAAGGACTTGGCTTTCAGACTATGCATGCTAAGAAAGCCAGTCCTCAAGAACTCAAGGAAAGAAGTAAACATTCAATTATGCCTATTCTGTGGAAAGAGAACTTATCTTTCTAAATCTCCTGTGTGGAATAATTTTCTAACAATAATAGTCACTTTGAGACTACAGCTATGTCTCCTGGGTCAGACTGATCTGTTCTGTTCTCTCCATTTGAAA